ATTTAGTATAGGCCTCATGGAGAAAATCACATTTGAGCAAATCCTCAAAGTGGTGAGGGAGTTAGCCATGCAGAAATTTGGGGGAAGAACATTTCAGGTAAAATCAGTGCAAAGGTTCTAAAGTGAAAATGTGCCTGGTGTGTATGAGAAACAGCAAGGAAATCAATCTGTTGAAGCAGAGTGAGGGAGGGGGGAGCGTATGTAGGGGTTGAAGTCATAGAGGTAAGTGGGACACAGGGTGTCTCATGGGTTCTTATTGTGAGTGAAATAGAGAGCCATTAGAGAATTCTGAGCAGAGGAATGACGTGATCCGACTTATTTTAACAGGTTCACTCCAGTTACTGAGTTGAACGAGGCTGCCAACCATAGAACTGAGAACTAGCAAGAGTGTCACATTATATAGTTGTGTGGTGATAGTGGCATGAACCGAGGCAATAGGGTTGTAATCTAGATATACTATGAAGGTAAAACCATCAGAATTTCCTGATGGACTAGATTGGGGAAGATGGGGAGCAGTGTCCTGTTCTGTAGCCCCAAGTGTCATTGAGGACCACTTTGTAGCATGATTGATAAGTTTCTGTTAGACTAAGGCATCAAAAATACATGACCAGGTTGCTTTTTAGCTTTTGAGTTGAAAGCATAGTCATTCTTGGAGGACTTTGGTGAAGCAAATTAAATTGACAAAAAGAGAAGTAACAAGTTAGTGAGAAATGAGAGTGGTGTCCCTGACCCTTGAGGAGCCTGAGGGACAAGTCTCTGGCTGAATGTTGTGAAAAGAGGAGCATAGGTAAAGAAGGGGAGGGAAGTGAGGACCTATACACTTGGAGCCTTCTCTTCTCTAGGGGAACATTTGGCCTTGGCATTTTAGAAAGGTCTTTTTCAGAGTTCTAAGCAAGGGGTCCTCTCTGAGTCCCTTGTGTTTCCTAAATCCCCTAAGGTAGTGAGTGAGTCACTGATGTTGGAATCTTATGAGATGGCCCAATTATTTTATTTTCTGAGGTTTTAGAGTCAAGTGATTTATAGCCTTCCCCATGTCCCTATTATCCCTACTGAACCAAAGGAAAGATGGAAATAAGGGAACTTTGGCCTTGACTTATTAAAGAGACCTACAAAGTGGTGCTAACATGTTTGGTTGAGCTGGCCAAACTGATGCACCAGAGAAATGACCATCGGTTTGTACAGAACTGTACAAATAAATGACAGCTCAAGGATGAGTGCCATTTTTCCTGGGTGTGTCCTAATTTATTCATTGGTACCCATTATTAATGATTAGGTCATGGCTTCATTTGCTAACCATGGGTGAGGTTGATCCTCACCAGGCCCCTGACCTATAGTCTAGAGATGACCCTCAGGGGAGTATATAGGTCATGTAGTTCTTGGAAGAAATAATCTCTGCCTAGCTCCTTTCAACTTGATTCATCTAATGATGGGCAGGGTCTGGCTCCTCCTAGTAATGGAGGAGAGGAGATCCCAGCATTCTTACTGATGCTGGTATTTTTACTTTAGCCATTTCAGAATAAAGAAATCTGACCTATCTGAATTACTCAGTCTCCGGAACTGATAAAAATTTATTCTCTAAAAAATCATTGTATTTAACTATATAGTAGCAGCTGTAGCCAATCACTTGAAACCTGGGAACCAGAAAAGAAACTATAGAGAACCTTCCTGAAGTCCTTTCATTGCTATGATTCTGTGTACATAGCTTTGGTTACCTTAAACAAATGGAAGCAATAATTCTTTCTATAGCTGTTTACACTATCAGTCTCTTGGTCTATTGGCTTCCTCCTCTTTTTCAGACTTCCTAGGTATCAGTTTGGGTGGAAAGAAGAGAGAAGACTTCATATTAAAATTGCTACCAAGAAGAGAAACCAGATGAGGTTACAGTGCACGAAAGAGTAATAGAAATGGTTTTTCCGTGGTCTGGAATTTTCAAGCATTGATACCCCATTTAAATTCAGGACTTAAAATGAAAACCAGCCCTGGCTAGTATGGCTCAGTTGGTTGGGTGTTGCCCCGTGCACCAAAAGGTTGCTCGTTCAATCCCTGGTCAGGAGGCAGTCAATTGATGTTTCTGTTTTGTTTTGTTTTGTTTTGTTTTGTTTTGTTTTGATTTGTTTTGATTTATTGCTTAAAGTATTACAAAGAGTATTATATATGTCTCCTTTTTTTTTCTCCCCTTCACCTTCCCCTAGCCTCCCATACCCCGCAGTGTCTTGTGTCCATTGGTTATGCTTATATGCATGCCTACAAGTCCTTCGGTTGATCTCTTACCCACGCCCCCCAACCCTCCCTGGCCTTCCTGCTGTAGTTTGACAGTCTGTTCAATGTTGCTCTGCCTCTGTATCTATTTTTGTTCATCAGTTTATAATGGTCTTAATTATCCATAAATGAGTGAGATCATATGGTATTTTTATTTCATTGACTGGCTTATTTCACTTAGCATAATGCTCTCCAGTTCCATCAATGCTGTTGCAAATGATAAGAATTCCTTCTTTTTTACAGCAGCATAGTATTCCATCGTGTAGATGTACCACAGTTTTCTAATCCATTCATCTGCTGATGGGCACTTAGGCTGTTTCCAGATCTTAGCTATGGTAAATTGTGCTGCTATGAACATAGGGGTGCATATATCCTTTCTGATTGGTGTTTCTGGTTTCTTGGTATATATTCCTAGAAGTGGGATCACTGGGTCAAATGGGAGTTCCATTTTTAACTTTTTGAGGAAACTCCGCCAATTGATGTTTTGCTTTCACATCAATGTTTCTCTCTCTCTCCCTCTCCCTTCTCCTCTCTCTCAAAGAAGAAAAAAAGAAAAAGAAAACCAATCTATAAGATAAAGATTTAGAAAGATTTGGAAATCAGTTATGAGCTTCTTACTTCATTCCTTTTCAACTCCTTTCATTTTTCAAAGGCTACCAATATGGTGGAAAGGTAGTAGATTAGGCATTATAGCCAATTTGACTCTGATTCAAATCCTGGCTCTGCCATTAACTAGCTGTATGACTTGGAAGAAGTCACTTAAATTCTCTGAGTTACTTCAGTTCCTTTTCTTGGAGGCACTTTAATCCCTTGTAGGATTAAACAAGAGATTGGTACTAGGTTTAACCTGAAGTTTCTTTGCTAGTGACCACCCCCATGGGGGTATAGATAGGAGTAGGATGTTGTTAAACATAGAATTCAGAAGAGACCGTAAGCAGGAATGCTATTTGTTGAATTAACCTCATATAGAACAAAACTAGACTTGAAGGAACTCCTTGGTGGTGGTGAGATTGCTGTATTGAGACAACTGTTTTAGATTCCCACAGATCCCTTTTATTTTGAGTAGATTCAGGTTACTTTTCCCTCCCATCACTCCAGCCTAGGAATACAGGGCACTGAGGCTGTCTAGGGGATTCCGTCGTGGCATCCTACTTTGGCGCTTTACCTTTTCTGATCCTGCTTTTCTTCATAAAATCATAACAGTTCTATGTCTAGTCACTCTTTTCCTTTATGGTTTATTAGCAAATTTGATGTTAGGCTGAGATATGAATAGCTTTAAATGTATTATACATCCTGACAATTCAAATATTAGTAATGTCAAGTATGTGGCAGGGGGATTAGGCAAAGGATATTTTTGTCACCCACCAAGTAGAGGAAGCACCTAGTACTGTATAAGTTGGCACTGTGAAGGGACAGATCAGTACAGTCTGAGACATTGATGTTATAAAAATATATATATTTACATGGCAATAAAAAGGAATATCTTCCATGAGGCAAAAGAGGAGTTGTATCGGGATGCCAAAAGCAGAGGACCCCCTTCCCCAGAGCCAGAATGTTTCTAGAGAAGTGATGTTTTAGTTATATTCCTTCCAAACACCGAAACAGTACATGTTTGGAATGATATCTGAGCAAGATGGAATTGGGAGCGCGATGGTGTGGAATGTGGAGCCAAAACTAGACCACTAGGGTATAGTTTCTAGGGTATGCCATGCTCCTGGTAGAGACTAAGAAGGTATTTATTGCTTTGATAAGTGAACACTCATTTGCCTGTGTCTGAATGCATCATATTTGCCATTTTGCTAGGGTCACAGGTTGGCCTGTGTGTACTGAGCTGTTGTTGACGGTTACTCAGAAGCAACCTTGCTCAGGACTTGGGTGCATGTGTTCTGTGTGACTGTGATGTCCTGACCAGTGAGGTTGAACCTTTGAGATTATCCCAAGTTCATAAATGATGACATATTCATTTATGGTGCAAGTTCCAGGCCTCTGGTACTTTTCTCGGCCATTGAAGAAAAAAGTTTATGGGATGGTCTTTAAAGTACAGCTTTCTATCGTGGCCTCTTGATTCTAATCCATAAATGGTGTCTTTAAGGCCCACGCACTTTAATTCAGATTCTCAAAACTTGGGCTCTGCTTCTTATGAAAGTGACCCAAATCTCCTCTCTTTATCCTTAGTTCTTCCCTTCTACCAGGGTAAAAAAAAAAAAAAAAAAGTATATCTTCCATTATTTCCCAGTGGTTTTATATATTTGTTTGTTTTGTTTACTATCTGCATCATAGAAATTGAGGGCAAATGGACCAGAAATGTTTTTGTGCATTTGAATAATTACATGCTTCTGGTTCTGCTTGTCCCTGGCTCAGCTACCTAACTGTTCCCAAGCAGTTCAGTCTCATTTTGCTCATGACTGGCTTTTTCTAAGGTAACACTTGGATGCTATCTTGGTATGAAAAAACTTATGAAATGTTTTAAGTGGATGTAGCTTCATTGACAATGGAATTACAGTGGGTGGGCGTGGGCAATGCTTAAAGGCTAAATAAAGGCTCTTGGTAAGAGCACATATGCCGAGAGATATTTCATTTCATCTTCCCTCTTCCCATAGCAACTTTATCTGTAAGATTAAGCTATCTGCTGGTGGAATAGTTAATAAAGAAACTCGATTCCAATTCAGAGCTGTTTGCCTGCCATTACTGGAACATATATACTTTCCTCATTGGATTTTTGTTTCCTTCTGTCTTCCCAGGTGGCATTGGTAGAGTGGTCAACGGAGCCTTCATGGTGCTGAAAGGGCATCGGTCTATTGTTAACCAGGTCCGATTTAACCCCCACACCTACATGATCTGCTCTTCTGGTGTAGAAAAGATTATCAAGGTGAGGCACCTTCCTATTCTGTCGTTTTAGAGAAATTATTACAATTCACAGTTGGAAGAAATGTATGTAGGACCTCATATCTAAACATACTAACAGTCTATTAAAATTCTCAATTATTTTGGCATACTATAAAATATTGAAAAATTGATTTTAACAAGAGTGATTTAAAACTTAACTCCTTTCAGGGACCTTATTTTATTTTATTTTTTTAAGATAAGGAACAATGTATTGTCATTTATTCAAATACTAGGGGCCCAGTGCACAAATTCATGCACTGGTGGGATCCCTTGGCCTGGCCAGCAATTGGGCAATCGGGGTGTCTTGCCCAGTTTGTAGGGAGGGACTGTGGGAGGTTGTTTGGCTGACCCCATTGGGGCCATTGGGGCCGGCTGTGGGGAGGGACCACGGGAGGTTGTCTGGCTGTGGGAGGTTGGCTGTGGGAGCGCACTGATCACCAGGGGGCAGCTCTTGCATTGAGCGTCTACCCTCTGGTGGTCAGTGCACATCACAGCGACCAGTCAACGGGTCTTAATGGTCGCTTAGGCTTTTATATACATAGATATTGACGTATTAACTCACAAGATATTCACTTAGAGGCTTTTGTAAAGAACTGGGTTTTGAAAAGCATCAATAGAAAACAGAAGAATTGTTTCTTCCTCATGGTCAGAAGAGGTAAATTTACGAAATGTGCACTGTCTCTCTTTTGGACACATGATAAATCCTGGCAGATACTTTATGCAACTTCAAGAAACAGAAATTGCTTCCCTTCCTGTCCTTGAAGCTCTAGAGATAGCCAGGCCTAGGGAGCACCCTCTTGCAGCCTCTGGGGGTTACCAACATTCCTTCACTTGTGGCCACATCACACTAGGATCAATATCTTTAGATCTCTCTCTGCTCTGTCGTTATATCACCTTCTCTTCTGTGTCTCAAGACCATTTTTAAAATAGTCACTAGGCTTTGAAACATCTGTATGTTCCAACATTTCCAGTGGCCTTTGATCTTGAGTCTGATGAATTCTGATTTCTAAACCCCATCTGGAGATTAAGAAGCCACCATCCCACCCTGACCAGTTTGGCTCAGTGGATAGAGCATCAGCCTGTGGACTGAAAGGTCACAGGTTCAATTCCGGTCAAGGACATGTACCTTGGTTGCAGGCACATCCCCAGGAGGGGGTGTGCAGGAAGCAGCTGATCGATGTTTCTCTCTCATCGATCTTTCTAACTCTCTATCCCTCTTCCTTCCTCTCTTTAAAAAAAAAGTCAATAAAATATATTAAAAAACAAAAAAGAAGCCACCATCCCCTTAGTTCAGTGGTTCTAAACCTTCCTAATGCCGCGACCCTTTAATAAAGTTCCTCATGTTGTAGTGACCCCCAATTTCATTGTTACAAATTGAACATAATTAAAGCATAGTGATTAATCACAAAAACTATATGTAATTATATATGTGTTTTCCGATGGTCTTAGGTGACCCCTATGAAAGGGTCGTTTGACTCCCACAGGTTGAGAACCGCTGTTTTAGGGGGAAAGTAAAACTTGGTTTGTGATGATTTGGTAGTTTTCGTTTTGTTTTGCTCTTTAAAAAAGGCATCTAAAATTAAACCAAGTTATATCTGAGGCAAGGAAAGCTATCAGAGATATAATGTTGGAGTTTCAATCAGTCTGCTTATTTGTCCTTATTCCAGCTTCTTGTATTGAGATTTTGTTGGTCCTGTGACTTTCATGATTGCATGCATTTCCCCATAGGGCTAGAACAGGATTTATAGATCATTTTTATTGACTTTTTCTTTTTACAGATGATGATGTTTATGATATAAATTAACTGGTTGAGGTTAATTACACACCTACTTAATGGTAAAGCTAGGATAGAGCCCTGTTCTTTGTTCTTCCCAGAGCACTGCCACACTTACCATGCTAGTGGGAATGGGGCAAGCTGATGTCCTGCTGCACTTGATCATCTCAGTAGTCCTTGACTTGGGCAGTCATTGAATTGGCCTTGTCCCTTGCATTGCTTTCCTTTCTCCTTTGGCCTATGACTAATGGGTTGGCATGTCCTTTCCAGGTCTGTTGACATCATTCTTTTTCTCAGAGAGCTCTGCTTGGGCATCTCCTTTAGAAGAAAATTTCCTGCGTGACTATACAATCTGGGATGCTTCTGTGCTGAGTCTCCCCAATTACTATTTAGTCAACTGGAATCCTTACCCTAAAGGTCATAGGTTGGAAACTAGCCAAGGGGAGAAAGAGAAAAAAATGTTTTCTCTGTGAGGTTATCCAGACTAAACTATAGCGCTTACTGCTTCTAGGTTCCAGTAGGGTCTGAATCCTGTCCCACCAGGAGGCACATTAAGCCATTTGAAACCTTAAGTCAGTTGGTACCCTCAAGCAGCTTTTTGAGTCTGTCTCCCATCTGTCAAGTGAAAACACTAACCATGAAATGTCACCCAGGAGAGCCTATGAATGACCTGTGCCTATCAATTTCTGACTGTTTCAATAAATTTCACTTTCCTATTTGCTGTTTCTGAGAGGGTCAGTGGAGAGGATCATCCCATCATCCCACTCCAGCCTGACTCCTGCTCTTCTCTCTCTCCACTTTATCCCACCTTCTTCCTGTTTGTCCTTCACTGCTGCCTTTCTAGCCCAGAGGAGAAGAATCCCTGTTGTCAGGGCCAGCCTTTTCTCACCCATAACAGGTTTTCTGTCCCCCTGAATGTTCACATTTAGCAAAAGAGGGGTCTATTTTGTAGTTAAACACAAGATGGGGCAAATAATATATATATATTTTTTTTTTTTTCAGAGAGGAAGGGAGAGCGAGAGAGATAAACATCAATGATGAGAGAGAATCATTGATCAGCTGCCTCCTGCATGCTCCCTGTTGGGGATCGAGCACCCAACCTGGGCATGTGCCCTGACCGGGAATCAAACTGTGACCTCCTGGTTCATAGGTCGACGCTCAGTCACTGAGCCACACCAGCAGGGCAAATACTGACTTTTTTTTTTTCTCAAAGACCAATATTTTTTCACCCCATATGTGTGATATAACTATTGTGTGCCATTTGTGCTAGGCCCTATAGGGAACACAAAGGTAAAGAAAGGTAATGCAAGTCCCCTAGGAATTGATGACCTGGTAGGAGAGATAAGAAATAAAGATAATGGGAAATGCAATAGGTATACAAGAGACATTAAAAAGTGCTGTGGGAGGAGAGAGATATTTTTTCCCATGTGGGGGAAATCTCAGTTTATGTAATATTTGAACTAGATTTTGAAGAATAAACACTGCAAAAAAAAAGAATAGGCGTAATATTGGAAGAACATTCTAAATGGAGGGAATGGATATTTAATTACTTCATTGAATCGACAAATATTTATTGATCACCTACTGTGTTCCAAGCATTGTGCTTATGAATAAATGCTCAGAAGCAGCAAAGTGTAGGACTGGTTTAGGCCAAAGTGATAATATTTGGCCAAAGTGAAGAGCACAAGAAGGGAGGACTAAGATATAAGGCTAGGAAGGTAGGCTGGAGGTGGGCCAGATTAAAGAATGTGGAGAACATTTGAAAAAGAATTGAATGTATCCTTTTCATCGGCAGCCTCTTGAGCTAAACTTTTCACTGGACTTGGAAAGAGAGAGCTGCTCATCCCTCTTCCTTTTCTCATGAGCCTTGCCCTATGAGGAGGCATGTCTAGCTACCTTTCATATGTCACAGGAAGTTGTATTTTCATTTTTCACTTTCACTGTAAATAAATAAACAATTTCACAAATGCTTGAAATTTATATTATGGATGATGGAGGACTAAGATAATAGGGACCATCAGTATTTATTGTGATCAAAAGTCTCTTTGAGGATGAGTCTGAAACTTTCTGATTGAGGCATTCAGCTGTTAAATGAAAGAAAGCACCACATTTATTGGTGTTTTGGTATGGACTATAGAAAAAATTCTTATTTCTACAGCTGAGAAAAAGGACTTTCTACAGAACAGGGTGAAGTCATTTGCACAGGGATATGCAATGAGGCTGGGGTTCCTTCTATCTGTTCTACCTGCTCCAGCAGCTCTGTGGTTCAAGTCTCCTGAGGCTAGAAAACTGGCTGTCTATGAATCTTAGGATTGGATAATACATCTATTCACTGCTTAGATGAGGGAGCTGAGCTTCACCCAAGGTCACCAGCTAAGTAGAAGCTGAGTGAAAACCCACACTCAAGTCTCCTGCCTCCTGTTCCATTACTCCAAGCTTCAGGAATGAAACTCTGCCTCAGCTTAATGTATTCCAGAGTCCAAATAAAAGCTGACTTTCAGTGTTTTGGTTTTCATTCTTTACATGAAGACGTAGGGCTCTGGGTAGTAGATTAGAACCTCAAAAGTAGCTTGTTGGCTAGTTAGACCAGCATCTTACTATTAATATTTTGTGCTTCTGTTAACAAATTCTGAGTTTCTGTGAAGTACATAAAGATTTGGCTTCATGTTTGACCACATGGTTGGTAACATTTCACCATTTTTTAAACTGGGGAAGTGTGAGATTTGGTCCAGAATATAGTGTAGAACCACAAAACATCCTAAGGGTTTTGCCTTTAGGACCCCTCATTTTCCTTTCTAAGCCACAAACTTCTATTCCTTTGGACATCTGTTCTCAGAGATAATCATTTATTGTTTGAGCCTGTTGCTGAAGGCCCTGTTTAAATGTTCTCAAACGTCGAATCTCAAAAAGGATTTGAGACTCTTTAGATATATCTGTTGTTTTCTGCTACTTATTTTCTACTGACTATATTCTAGTGTTTCTTAAAACTTGGTTCCCCTCCACTTGCTCACTCCTTGAGTGCTTGTTAAACATTCAGAACCCTGACACCTCCCCATGACTTATTGAATCAGAATCTTTAAAGGTGGGTGGGGCTCAGGAATCAATGTTATAATTATTCTTCAGGTGATTCTTGTGCACTCCAGAGTTTGAGAACCACTGTATTCAAACTCCCCTGGGTGAGATTATGTAGCTGGAGGGGGGAGAACACCTGAGGAGTTGTAGGCAGGGCCCAAGTTGGAGGAGGAATGAATCTGAATTGGGAATTGGTAGAGAGCTAACCTAGAAGGTTTCTTCAGCCCCTCTTGAAGTGGGGATCCTCCAAAGAAGCACTAATCAGGAGTTCAAGTAAAGCATGGAGGGAACAGGCTTCAGTAAATTTATGGAGGCAAATTTGGCTTTGGATAGCTTTGGGGAAATGAAGCCATTGTCTTGACAGAGCATAGGGAATGAGAAGCCACTGTTTTCTGGGTTGGGTGCCATCTAAAGATAGACACCAGCCTGACAGGCAAGAAAATCGCCTGGAATTTTATCTGAGTTGCCATGGCTACTAGCTGATCTAACCAAGCTTCTTTGTGCTGCTCCGTGGACCAGTCTGGCAGTCAGGTGAAGCTAATTGTCCTCATTTGCAGTGACAGCTTAATTTACCTCAAACTTGATTTTTGCATAATTTACTCAACTTGTAAAGTTGGGCCTTTGCATTCAGACAGACCTGAGTTTGAATCCTAGTTTAGCCACATTTTAGCTATGAATCCATGTTTCTGACCATGGAGTGGAGGGATGTTAAAGGATGGGGCTGCAGTCTTGGGGTGAGGGGTGCCCTATCTATTCCTGCAGTAACAGAAGAGTTGAGGAGCAAGCCAGCAACTCCCTGGTTAAGAGAACCCAGTTTCCTGGGTAACTAATGCCTGCATGTCCAAGAGGGAAGTGCAATGTAGGCAGTTGGCTATTCTCATCAAGCTCCAGAAGCAATTCCCATTAGTTAAAAATAGAAATGTTGCAGTTGGAGGGAAGTGGAGTTAGAGGCTAAAATATTAACTGTCACAGAGGACTAACTGCTGGGTCTGTTTCACTTTGGCAAAGTGGTGCCTCTCTGTGCACAGCTTCAGTCTTCTGAGAGTTTTGAACACATTGGCCAATCTTTAAATCCTCTATCCTCTGAGATTATGAAGGGTAGTATTATAATTTTCATTCTAATAGAGGGAGGAGGTGAAAGGGGCAGGTGGGTTTTGGGGGAGATGGTGGGTGATTATCCTGGGCCTAGAGACAGGACTTAGGTCTCGTGACTAATGCTGCGGACTAGACCAGGCTTTTTCCCACATCTGATGTTAGAAGCCTCGGTTTTCATATGTGCCCAATATAATCCAGTCTGATAAAGACTATTTTTAAAGTTGGTTGACAAGTTCTGGCTAAATGACAGGAAGGGTCTGGGAAAGCTCTGCCTTGGTGTTCTCTGTTGCCACCAGGTTTAGAATACTTTCCAATCAGCCCTCCTTGGTCTTGTTTTCACCTTCTGTGCAGATCTGGAGCCCGTACAAGCAGCCAGGATGTACCGGAGACCTTGACGGTCGGATTGAGGATGATTCCCGCTGCCTCTACACCCACGAAGAGTACATCAGCCTCGTGCTGAACAGTGGGAGTGGTCTGTCGCACGACTATGCCAACCAGTCTGTGCAGGAGGACCCCCGGATGATGGCCTTCTTTGACTCGCTGGTGCGCCGCGAGATCGAGGGCTGGAGCTCTGACTCCGACAGTGACCTGAGCGAGAGCACCATTCTCCAGCTGCACGCGGGGGTCAGCGAGCGCTCAGGCTATACCGACTCCGAGTCCTCGGCCTCGCTGCCCCGCTCCCCGCCACCTACAGTGGACGAGTCTGCAGACAGCGCCTTCCACCTGGGGCCCCTGCGGGTCACCACCTCGAACGCAGTGGCCGCAACTCCTCCGCCACCCGCTTGTGAGGATGCAACTTCCCGCCAGCAGCGCCTGTCGTCTCTGCGGCGCTACCAGGACAAACGCCTCCTGGCGCTCTCCAATGAGTCGGACTCTGAAGAAAATGCCTGTGAGGTTGAACTGGACACGGATCTCTTCCCCCGGCCTCGGTCTCCCAGCCCCGAAGATGAGTCCAGCAGCTCCAGCAGCTCTAGTAGCTCTGAGGACGAGGAGGAACTCAATGAACGCCGAACGTCCACCCGGCAGCGGAATGCCATGCGGCGCCGGCAAAAGGCGCCCCGAGAAGAGAAGCCCAGCGCCCCACCCAAGCCCGCCAACACCTACATTGGAGAAGACAACTATGATTATCCCCAGATCAAAGTGGATGACCTCTCCTCCTCCCCCACCTCCTCTCCTGAGCGGAGCACTTCCGCTCTGGAGATGCAGCCCGGCCGGGCATCACCAACTTCAGACATTGAGTCAGTGGAGCGCAAGATTTATAAAGCTTACAAGTGGCTCCGCTACTCCTATATCTCCTACTCAAATAAGGATGGAGAGAGCTCCCTGGTGTCTGGGGAAGCAGACGAAGGGAGAGCGGGAACCAGCCATAAGGACAGCCCAGGCCCTTCCTCCAGTAAGGAAACCTGTCTAAACACCTTGGGGGCCCAAAGGAACCAGGACCTACCCCCTGAAGGCCGCAGCAAGGATGCTTTAAAAGAAGGGACTTCTGCTAAAAATCCCAGCATTGCCCCAGGCCATGAGCACAGTGGCCACTCTTGGGCAGAGGCACCAGAGGACACCACTCAGGACACTAACAACAGTGGCTCCGTAGAACACTCTTTTGAAACCAAGAAGCTCAATGGAAAGGCTCTGAGCAAGGCCCTGAGCAGCCGGGCCGAGGAACCACCTTCTCCTCCTGTCCCCAAGGCATCTGGCTCTACTCTCAACAGTGAGTCTGGCAACTGTCCCAGGACCCAATCTGACGACAGTGAAGAGAGAAGCCTCGAAACCATCTGTGCCAACCACAATAATGGACGCTTACACCCTCGCCCCCCTCACCCTCACAACAATGGACAGAACTTTGGGGAGCTGGAAGCAGTGGCCTGCTCTTCTCCAGGACATTCAGACAATGACCATAACTTGTCCTTCACAGGGGGACTCCTACACAAAGATTGTTGTGGGTCTGAAATGGCCTGTGAGACCCCCAGTGCTGGAATGAGAGAGGACCCCACTGACTCCCCAGGCATAGACAGCAGCAGGGCTGTTCATGGCCATGGTGGCCTCAAAAGGCACCGAGTCGAATTGGAAGATACAGATTCAGAGAATTCCTCCTCAGAGAAGAAACTAAAAACATGATAAATACAAAGGGAAAACAAAAAGCTACAAAAAGGAGCTTTACAAAAAAATTTTTAATCCTGTTTAGTGAATACAGAGGAAAGGAAAAAAAGTATTAAAGGCACATAAAACCAGGGCCTGAATTTTGTGTCTGATGCTGCTCCCTTCTGTTCAACAATGGGTCTGATGTTTAGTTGTCCATTGGCTTGTGCTGTGCTAAGAAAGGGAAAAAATCCAAGTGACTCCTTTCTAGTAAAACTTGAGCATAGTGTACCTGTGCAGATTAGATTCCGTCAAAGTAAACCCTTGTTGAGACATTTGATTTGTTCTTGTGTGTGTGTGCACTGGTATGCGTGAACTCATTGTTTCAGACTTGTCCTTAGTTCTCCATCAGAAAAGGATCTATGGATCTGTGTTTTTTTTGCCATCTCACCTTGTTTACATGCAATAGGTGTCCTGGTCTTAACGATGAGTACCTGCTAAGTCAGGTTGTGCCGCCAGTGAGTAGTGGATTTGTGCTGAAAGACTAGGGAGGAGAATAGAGACAGGCCTTCAGCCCATTGGCTGTTCTGGAAAGGAAAGCATGGTTCCTTTTTAAAGAAATCTTCCATGTTTTCTCTCAGTAGCACTTCTACATTGAGCATTTAACATAGACATACTAAAAGTGAAGCATTTTTAATGCTAATAAGAGGTTAGCACTTAAGATCGGATTCAAGAAGAACATAGATCTCTGATAAATTTCACTGATTACAAATTGAATGATGCTGCAACACATACTATATGGAGGCCATAAAATATAACTAGTTGTGGGTAACGCTTTAACCAGTTAGATACTTAGTTCTAAGAGATACTCAGAAGGCCGGCAGGCGCTTCCTTGGCCCTATGGGATGGTGTCTAGGCATATTGAAAGGGGGAAAGATAGCTGTCAAGAACTTTGTGCTCAAACTACTAAAGTGGATGTTATATGTGTGTTAAAAAGTGTAGTAAAGAGCAGAGTGTGGTACTATATTAATTTAATTCAACCCAAAATGATTGGTGAGAATTGGTGGGCCTAGCATCTTCCCCCAGGCTTGCAATTGACAGAGGCTGTGGTGTTCTGACTAGATCTTGCAGAGCAGTGGACATCTTGAAGTAACAGATTCTTATTACGTAGGTCTGTTAGGAGGCAGTGTGTGTGGAGAGAGGAGTCACTGGTTTAAGACTCCTGGCGCCTAGAGAGACTCTGTTTCATTGAGGTACATACAGATTGAGAGGGGAAAAGACCAAGAGATTTTCAGCATTGCAATGGTAGTTACAGTCACTTGGTTATCAATGAAGGGTGGTGCAAGACAGGAAGGACTAAGGATGACCAGATATCTTATTGTCATAGATGTCATGAAAAGGCAGGAGAATAGTGGCAAGAAATGAAGAAGAGAGAGAGGAGAACACAGTCACTTTCTTGGGCACAAAGGTGCTAGACAACTAGGAGCCCAGTCAGCATTGGTGTAGGCGAGAACCAATGTGTGACTGATGTGGCCTCACTGATCCTTTTAGAGGAGGACCTGCCCTACTGGAACTGGGACCAACGGGAGAAAACCTATGCAGGATGAAGACTCGGATGGATTTAGGCACTGGGGGAAGAGGGGTTATTTATAAATAGAAGGTTGTTGGTTAAGCCAAAAGGAGATAGCTTGCTAAGCTTTGTGAAAGGAAAGATGTGCCTGGTCTGTGTGATGTGACTTGGGAGTGAAAACTGTCTTAGGAGAAGGAGCTGAAGGAGTGTGAGTAGCAGTGGGGATGCTTACAATTTAACAATTGTAATCTCACTGGGGGAATAAAAATGGTTCTGTAACCATTAGAATTGCTTTGGATTTGTAATCAAAATGGTTTTATGATTTGTCTTTGACTATTCACAGATAATTGTAAATTCTGGTTTTATAAGCCCAAGTCATTTTACATTTGCTTTTCCAAAATTTATTAAATTGGAATTTTTTAATCCTTTATATACTAAAAAAGATATAATCATTCAGTGTGTGTTTCTCTTCCCCTTCCTAGTCAGCATACCTAATCTTTTTGTTTTATTTAATCAGTAGGTATCCTTTTCTGACTTCTCTGATAATCCACATATCTTCCTGGGGAATAAAGAAGTGGTTCAAGTTCCCTTGTGAACTAGCCACTTGGTAGTTACTGTTCCCAAATGCAGAATTTGGTCTTTTCATGTTAAAAAGCCTTCATCTCATTTGGGTACTCAAAAGAGAAGTCAAAGTTTATTCTGGTTCAACTTTAGTATCCAAGAAAGATCCTTTTTTAGTAAGGATGCCTTTCATCCTTGGGAGAGACTCTTCCCAGCACCCCAGGGTCAGCGTGCCAGGAGATAGGCCCTCCGGGTATCCACAGGAGCAGGAGAAATGCTTGTCTCCGTGGCCACTCCACTCTCATTTCTAGAAATCTGTCTGTGATTGTGGTCCTGGAAACCTGGCTGGAACCACTTCCAGGAACCCTTTGCCCAAACCCCTAACTTAGGGCCTATAGTATAGAGCAGTGGTTCTCAACCTTGGCTGCACATTAGAATCACCTGGGAACCTTTTTAAAATCCTGGTTTCTGGGCCTCATCCTCCGGAAATTCTGTTTCTTTGTTACTAATGTTGTGGCCCCACCCCATAACAAAGAAACAGAATTTCCGGAGGATGAGGCCCAGAAACCAGAATTTTAAAAAGGTTCCCAGGTGATTCTAATGTGCAGCCAAGGTTGAGAATCACTGGTATAGAGGCTCCAACTTGGGAGGCATGTTTAGTCTCCAGATTCTTCCAGGAAAGGTCTTTTTACCAGCAGGACTGTGGCACTGATCAGATCAAGAGCTATTCAAAAGTGCCTCATGTCTTTTTCTGCATCCTATACATAAAATTTTAAGTGGCTGGTCCAGATATATAAAACCATTTCTCTCCACTTTATTTTTCACCTGGTTTTGTGATTCCTGTGTCGTAGGACAGCAAGTAAACGAGTAGTTGGCTTGGGGCAAACGAAGGTTGCTACTGTGCTTGGTTTTCTAAGCCGGAGTCCCCTGTTTGTCACGGTGCCTTCCTCTGCTGAAGCCTTACCTCTTCACAAGCCCACCTCTCCCAGCAGCGCTAACTCTTCTGTGTATATGCAAATAAACCTATTATTCACTTCTCATGGCTTCCTCTTCTCTTCCAAGGGAGACTAGGTTTCTTAGACATCCCTCTTCTTACATTTCTTTCCTGGTTTAATTCTTGCCTCGTTGGAAACTTGATTCAAAGCTACACTGAAGACCAGAAGAAAAATTGGCCAGTGGTCACTGTCACTTCTAGGTATTGGGACAAATGTCACACCTGAACAACAAAATGTAGGATACACAGAGGTATCTACTTGGTCTGGAATTGACCCTTTTGTCAGTTGGAACTGAGTAAGTGAGGCAGTAAAGCAACATTACAAACAGCCCCCAAAGAAATGTTTTCTGATGTTTCCAAATAGCAGATTGCTTTTCCTGCCCTGTCTCAGGCATGCACTGCAAACTTGTTTTCTTAAAAGAAAAACAAACAAAAGGCCTTATACATCCTGCCTCTAAAACTGCCTCCAGTTAACTGAAAAATCTTGCCAGCCAAGACTCTTGTGAGGAAAATAAACCTTCCAATGAAAGACTGTCTTCCCTTATGACCTGAGCAAGACACTGTGCCAGAGTTGAAACACTAAGGTAAAGCAGGGCTTGTGAGTCCAGACCTGCCCACAACAGCAGGAAAATGGACAAGGTGTGTGGTTCTCTCAGAAGAGAGATTTCGGCCTTAGTGCTCGTTTGTCCTTGAGTAATCATCCTGGAATGAAATAATGTGAATTCAAGTGCTTGGAAGTGGTTTTGAATTTCTTTAAGGACAGGGCTTTCCACATGAACCGAAGAAAAGTGTGTGAAAGACAGTCTGAGCCATCTGTACCCTCATTACATTTTACTGTTAGTACAAAGGTGATAAGGTGCTTCTGAAAATGGAGGTTAAGCGGTAAAGATAAACGTCACTGGGCCTAGCACTAACATGGCCAGGAACAAGCAGGAGGAGTTGCTCAATTTTCTTCACACAACAGGTTTTACTGGAGCCATGCAGAAGGGCCCTGCAGTGCTTATCTGTAAGACAGTCACAGTAAGGAAATGGGATGTCTAGCATTTCAAATGACTGAAGTTGGGAAATGACTTCTTTCTGGAGCCCAGTGCCATGAGCTAATGGGATATTCCAGCTGAAGTACAGAATGCTAGCTTACAAGTCTCCCTCTATCTGGCTTTGTTAGTAACCCCACCAATGCCGGAGAAAGTCAATAAAACACTAAGGAATCTGGGTGCTGATCCAGGATCCTGAGGCATGAGGGACGTTCTTGTGGTCTAGGGAAAACCCTTGTAGGGAAGGGGATTAGGAAGACTGCAGTGGAAGGAATGAAATGTCAGGTGGCTTCAACAGCTTTCCAGATCCACAGAACTAGCATTGAACAGGACATGAGCCAGTGTCTGAAACACTTGGTCATTAAGACTGTTCAAAATCCCCAAGTAAAAGTCTTCATTTACAATAATGGGCATCAGTGAAAATGCAGGATTGGTTTGGGAGAAACTCCCTTTTCTAGAATGCATACATTCCATACAATGACGATCATATAGTCACCTGAACACCAGCACACTTAAATATACTGCATACCCAAAACAGGTGAGTGTGTGGTGATTGGTGATTGGCATAGGCTTTCATAGGGAAACAAACATCCCCCAACTTGACTTCCCAGACAGATTAGTGATGCTATGCAGGGCCTACCCCTACCACCTTTTTCACTCATTTTCTCTATGCCTCAGAATCAATCTTTTTTTTTACATTTCTAGTCTGTCCAAGACCCTTTCTTAAATTGTTAAGACTAACTCAAATTCTTGAAAACAAATACAGAGGTCCCTCTCAACTCTGAAATCTGATTCTCCCCCCCCCCCCCCCCCCCCATCCCATAAATTCTCAAGTTGGGGGTGGTGAGAACGGCACCAGGTGTTAGGTGCTAGATGGTGGGGTCAGACCGGACCTGGGTTCAGCAACCTGGGTACTTGAGTTTTGGCTAGGAAAGAATTCAGAGCCAAGACTCAAACTATAAGAGAACATTTATTTGGAAAATCACTGAAGTAAAAGTAATTTGTAGAAGAAATGGGCTTTGGAAACAAGTTATAGTAAAGGAAGGGCCCTTGGAGCTTGGGAATGAGGAAGGCAATGGTAACGCCTGAGGAGATGGCGATGGGGAAGGGACAGGCACGGCATGCTATCAAGAGGGAGAGTGCCCTGGGTCCTCTGTCCTAAGGGTTTTAAGGGTGAAGATTTTAGGGGAGGTCCCAGGGGAAGATCTCGGTAGACTATTCAGCAGCTTTCCAGCTGGGTCCTTTCAGAGTTGGAGTTTCTACTCATTGATTGGTCAGCACCAGGGCAGAGGTCATTCAGTGCAGCTGATCCTGCCGTCAGCCTTGGCGTCAAGGCGTCACTCGTCTGGTTTTCTTCTTTTCTGGGCATGGAGCTGAAATACAACTGAGGCCTAGATGTTATCTCTAGGGAGGAAAGGTTAGGGGATCCAAACCATGTGACCAGCGATATGCTAGGAGAGGAAAGGTCTCCCTGGAGGCAAGGTCCTACCCTACAATTGTCCTTTGCTAGGCACCTATGGCTTTCTGCCCTGGTGACCTTCTGTATCTGGCCCATCGTCCTTGCTCTGCCCAGGTCTAAGTGCCTACCAAAACCAGTGGGTGAGCCAGGATCTCTGACAAGTGTATAACTGCTTAGAGCCTCAAGTTCATCTGTAGAATGGGGAAAGAATGCCTGTCTTGGCATATTATTATAGGACTGACTGAGCATATATTTAGTTAGCTTGGACCAGCGCCTTGTATACAGAAAGCACTAGTATTTGCTTCATTAGCATATCTTCTCTTGTCTGGTCTCATTGCTTGTTGATAGCAACATGCACACCACATAGTAGGAAGGCTTTTGGATGGGGTCTGCCAAGACATATAGAAAGTAAGTCCTTCAGAGAAAGAATTTACTGTTAATTAGCCTGAAACCGTAGGAAAAAAGTAATGTATCCGCATTATGGTGGACTTGACTAAAGCTGAGTTTGGAACCTTGGACACCACGTCCAACTAGGAGAGCCAACTGTCTATAAAGACTCTGAGAGCTGGGAGCTTTAAAAAAAAAAACAACAAAAAAAAACAGGTCTGGCTGACAGAGGCCTCCAGATCCTTGCTTAGGCAGCAAGTCTGCAGCGGGTAGGGGAGGAGTGGCAGAGTAAACTGAAGTCTTAATATGGTGGTGCTGGAGATGACCCAGACCTCAGGAGCTGGGACAGCAAACTTCTCTCTGGCCTGAGCTGAAATTCCCCCACCTGGCGCTGGGCCAGCCCTAGAGAATCAGGAGAGTTGCAAGCCATGGGAATGCTCTGTGCTTCTGCTAAAGAAAGGTTTTGACCAGAGTTTTCCATGCAGGATTGTTTTGTGTGTGTGTATTAAATATTTTGTAACATCGGGCTCAGCCAAGGGGAAAAGGTCAGAGTTCAGTCCCATCCCAGTAAACCCTCAGGACAGATCTGGAGTAGAGATCTGGCCCGTCTGTGGCACGTGGAGAGGGCAGGCAGAGAAATGTGAGAGAGGAAGGTTTTCAATTGCTGATGGAAAAGAGGCGATGGAATTATACTCGAACAAGCTTTTCAAATAAAACCCGTCTGCCAGGAGAGAAGCCAGAGCAAGGGTGGGGGAGACTGGGAGGTCATAGATGAGTTCAAGCCTAAATTAGCATTTTGACCTTATCCTGAAGGAGGTGGGGTGGTTAGCGACATCATCCAGTCCAGCCCTCATTTTAGAGATTGAGAGCCTAAGGCTAGTGCTCTCCTCACATCTTGCTCTTCCTAGATGTGGTTCTTTAATTAGGGGGGGCGGGTGCTTACCTTGATCTCCCCACCCACAGTCAGCCTGATTCCAGTGGGTTTCTGCTTACAGTATTCAGCTGTAGC